TCCAGGTCATGCTGAATGGCAGCACAGCCTTCTGGTGTATCTACCACACCTCCCAGTTTGGTGTCATCAGCAAACTTGCTGAGGGTACATTCTAACTCTTCATCCAGGTCGTTGATGAAGAAGTTAAACAAGACTGGGCCCAGTACTGACCCCTGGGGGACACCACTTGTTACCAGCCTCCAACTAGACTCAGTGCCACTGATGCCAACCCTCTGAGTTCTGCCATTCAGCCAGTTCTCTATCCACTTCACCGACCACTCATCCACTTCCCAGAGCACTGACACTGCTTTGGCAGGCAACGGTGTGAACGTAGGGCCAGGAGTAACTGAGCTGAAGCTAAGAGGCCACACCCTTTGGTACAGACTCTTAGCCTCAGGGCTGAACCCTACGAAGGGATGCTCTGGTTGCCAGGCTGGAGGGCCTGGGTTCAGCCAGTTTAACCCAAATGAGGGAGTCCCAGTAGGAAAGACACAGGGGCAAGCTGCCTGAGGGGAATTCTTCTCACAAAACCCAGTTCATTTTCCTCTTCTATCCTCAAAACATTTCCAGTCCATCAGAGTACCTATGTTGCAGAAGCAGCTCCTGTTTCCTGTGCTTTACAGACAGCAACATCTACTGGTGGTGGTTGCTCAGTTGAATTCTTGCTATCAGAGTTTTCTGCAGGCTTTTAGTTGAAATAAATAGTCTATATTTAGAAACATCCACAAGTGGAGCTGAAAGCCTGTGATCAATTCACCAGCAAAGATTGAGATTATTGATGTTCCCCGGACCAGAATTTTTTCTTCATCCAAAATATCTCGTTGTTAGGAGAATAGATTTGTGTTGCATTCTATTGAATTACCAGTGAGGTGCTGCCATCTTTCTTGGCTCTTGTAGTTCTTGTGCTAATATATGATTCTGGAGAACCTTCCATACTTAAAAGTGAAGTCTGAAATAATTGAGGAGGGATGCAGAAAAGCCTAATGCCACGTTATGTTGTGCAGTCAGCTAGGCCTCGAGGAGTTCCCAGTAGAGAAGAGATGGAAGGGAATCTATGACCAGTTCCTGGAGTTCATCCATTCTGGCTGCAAAGAAGAAATGGAGGAGTCTTTCACTGGGTTCCACATACAAACGAGCAAGGAGCTGCGGAAATCTCAGGAGTATCTCTTCTGCCAAAGGTATGAGTATCGCATGCCCTCATTGCAACAGAGGAGACCATTTGTGTAGAGGGGGTAGCGTTTTACTTTAGGGTCTGCCATATATTAAAGTTATGAACCCAAGCATTAGCCAGTTCTTCCTGCTCATGAGACAGGAGGATGAATTTTAAGCCTGAATTTAAGATTGTGCTGTTGAGACTCATTCTTGTAAGTGAAAACTTGGATGGGATTCATTTGATTAAATGTAAGCAACTGCAGATGACCCAGTCACCACTGGCTCCTCTTGTATTTGAGGAAGACCTAGCTGACATCATCAGCTGACACAGAGCAAACTCATGTCCCCTTAAGAAAATATCTAAAATAGATAAGACAAGCATGTGCAGGATACAACCCAGGCTGATTGTAAGGGGAGCTGAAGGCGATGAATTTAGATAATTGCAGGTGTTGTTGTAAGTCAGTGGGGCAATTCCATTGAAAAGGATGGAGAAAGATTCATTTGTTTTAGCAGTCTTACTGCCCCCTTGGTATCCACCTGCAATACCACTTGGGATTTATCCCTGTGCTTCACTGTGTGGTTTTGCTTCCTCACTTCTCATTTTTCAGGGGGACTGAGGATGTATCCTGGAAGATAGAAGATATTCTTGAAGAGCTTGTCCAGCACCAGGAACCAGAGTCACTACAGAGTTATTTAGACAAGGTAAAATTTAAAACCGTAGTGATCCATGTCTGTCCACCAGACATGGACAAAGGTGTTTGCAACTTTCTGTTAGCAAATATAACCTTGCCAGTGACTTCCAGAGTCTTCTCTAAATTATGTTCGAATACTTGTGAAGAAAAGGGTTATCCTTCATGCTTTTTGGACACTCATTTTGTGTACAGCTATACAGACCAGGAAGCGATGCTAAAGCTTCACTCTTGATTCTCACACTGTGTCAGGGAATAACTGGCTGCTGGAAATGATTAATGAACTTCCATGCACTCTCGGTGGTTGTATTTCACTCAGACAGTGTCTCCCTGAAGCACTCGTTGGTCTCTCCTGAACATCACAGCAGATTTCATCAGAGCAGCAAGTTCTACTAAGCATATTTCTGCCTGATAATGGGAGAAGAATGGGCTTGTGGCAAGAAAAATAGACCAAAATTATAGTTGATGACCTCCAGGCTTGTCCTCCTTTGCTAACAAGAGAAAGCTGGGTGGACTTCCAGTATTATCCTCTACTAATGGCAAGGGCTGACTTGTAAAATTTAATTTTCCTCTGTCATGCAGGCATTGAAATCTTCCCTGCACCCACTGGGAAAGCTGCTGAAGGTCTTGATGATAGCTTTTCAGGCAACATATTCTGGGATTGGGGCCAACAGACACTTGCTGACTATGGCACAAGAGGAAGTCAAGTACTATGCAAAGAAAATATGGGAGTTTTACCAGTAAGTCAAGCACTTTGAGTCCTTCCAGTTGGTATGAGCTTAGAGGGATTGTGGAGTAGACCACTGGGATCGTTTTTTTGGGATGACAGGGCTGCTTCATTTCACATAATGTTTCTTGGAAGTGTTGCTTCAGAATGATGCTAGATAAAGAATTATTTACAATACCTAAGGTCATATGGACCTAGCAAACCTTTATGATGCCCATTGCTCAGTACATGACCCGAGGGCTTTAATGTGACTAAATCTTACTGACTTATGGCAGCTCAGTTAGCTCTTGCCCATAATAGACTTCATTTAGACAAGCGCAAATATGAGCAAGAAACCTCACTAAGTAACGAGGACAGCAAAGTATATCAGAGTACACGACACTGGTCTTCGACATCCATGTCTGAATGAAAAATGGCTTAGGATTAACGTGTCTGACCTCGAACGGAGTTAAGAAGATGTGGTGTAAGTATGTGGTGGAGGCTCAGCTGATGTGGGTAGTGACTCTAAAATGAGGTGGTTCAGTTGTGGGGTTGTGCCCCTGGGTAATTAAGGACTGGATCAAAGGCATGATTTGAGTCCTCTTGCCGTTTGAATATGTTTTAGGAGAAGATACAAGAAATGCCACGGTAGGCAGAGGTGGGGAGCTCTGCCCTCTAGTTGCACTTCGGGTGCTATTGCTTTAAAAACAAGAGGTTGGATAAAAGCGCTGTTATTATCAGTGTAGCCTTGTGTGCTTGAGGAAGGCTGCCAGCTCTATGATGAGGGGTCTTCTGTCCCAGAACAGTCTGAGAACAGCAGCACAGCTGATGGGAACAAGTCAGATTTGATTCAGTTCATTGGAGCCGTGTTCATGAACAGTACAACAGGGCTGGCAACCTGAGTGTTGGTTCATGTGAAGGTGCTTCTGAGCTCAGTGCACACCTTGGAAAGCTGTTTCACGTCTCAAGACATTACGGGTGCAGTGTGGGGAGAGAGATCCACTTTGCTCTGCTGTGGCCCTGGCTAAGTTTCCTAGGTCGATACTTCTACATCAAAAAAAGGTAACCTCTCCCTAATGCCCTTTTTAAGATTATGAAGTTTTGGCTTGGAAATATCAAGACAACTCCAAGCTAGAGAGTAGAGTATGAGCATCCTCTAATGTTCATAGACAGAGAATTCGCTGGTATGACAGGTCCTGAAATCTCATGTCCCTTGAGTGGGACTACAAGGAGATGGCACTCAACGCAGACCACAGTTAGGATCTCCAGAGTGACTACCCTACTCTTCAGAAGCTATGGAGATTTTTGAAACTTTTATTCATTCCTGGTGGCTTCCGCTGGTGAGGGAGAAAGCCCTCAAATAGTGAAAACTGACCACTGCAAGGATTACAGAGAGCTTTACTAATACACCATTTGATGCTGGGACAGCTGAGCTCCTCACTTCTGAATAACAAAATACCCTTAAAAAAAGCAGGGGAGGAAATAAACTTTGGTTCTGCTCCTGTTCTAGGGGTTTGCTCCATCTGGCACTGGAACAGAAAGGCCAACTGCCCACAAAGTGTGTGGATGGAGATACAAGGTATGTGTCACCACTGGTTGTTTACTTTTAAGCTGTTTGGACGTACAGGGTATCTTCTAAAATATGTTAAGGGCTGAATTGATTGTATTTGCCAGTCTGAGCCAGGTTTAGTGCCTACACTTCTCTCTGAGTGCAAAGATTTCAGCAGTTTTACCTGAAGCATGAGAGCAACTTCTAATCATGTTCTGTAGCAGAATAGAATGGTGAGTTGGAGGTGTGTGTGGCACATGGCCTTGCAAGATTACCCACACCAGCTCCTGTGCAGTCGCACGGTTGTGTGCAAGGCAGTAGTGCCAGTGCCACCACATGCTTTGCATTAATCACAGCAACTCGTTCGTTGCGTGGATGGTGACTTCCATGCCAGCACTGAGAGAAAAGCAGGCTTGGAAATAAGGAGTACAGTGTGGGAAATGTAGCAGAAGAAGTAGAAGACGTGATGTTCCTAGAATAAGAAGGTAGGAATAATTGTAGGAGATACAGATCTACAGTTTTTGGGGGTGGGAAGAACCACCTTTGCTCAGCTGTGCCAATTTGGGCAATCAATCCCATTGATTTCTTTTTGCTGTAATCTGCAGCCATCCCCACATGGGCTGAATGAAGCCAAGAGGTTGGTGGAATGGTAAAAACCCCACATGGGCTGAATGAAGCCAAGAGGTTGGTGGAATGTAAAAAGCTGGAAAAGAGCTTTGTCTGAATTTATTTGATCTTTCTTACTCAAGTGCTCTACTGAAACAGCTCGGAAAGAACAGTTGGAGATAGGTCTCTGGTGCTCCAGGTTTCTCCCTGTGACTAAGGAGACCTTGTGAAGGAACACTACATCCTGTCCTACAGCATAAGATGCACTTGCATCTTCAGCATGAGTGTTATACAGGTCACTACTGTCCAGCTGTGACACTGAACTCAAAGGTGGAGGAAGGAGGGGAGAACAAGAAGAACACCTTGTAGTCTCAGAAGCTGCCTTCTCCATTGTGTCCTGTGTGCCTCGAGGTTATAGGTCTCACTTCAGGACTCTGCTTTGCTTTTCTTCGCCACAGTGACCAGAAGGCATGCAGTGTGGTCCTGCCGTTGATCTTGCCCTGCTTCTACCCTGAGCTTTTCATGCTCTACATGCTCTATCATGAAAGAGAAGATGACCTGTACTGCCAAGGGATCGTGGACCTAAGTCTATTTCCCGACATCAAGCTGCTAGAGTTTCTGGATGTGCAGAAGTAAGTGATGTTTTTTCATCCCCATGACACCAGCTGGGAAGGTAGCAGCCAGGGAAAGCTCTGATGGCACAGGATGAAAGGACATATAACCTGTTCCTGGCTCCATCATTGGCTGTAGCACTGATATTTTCCCTAGTCTGTTGGAGGAACTGCGTACAATACTGTCTGGAACAATATTGACTAGTGGAAAGCTGCTATTATCTATGCTAATTTTCATTTTTCTTTAGTAAAAATCTTCTTTTCTAGCTTATGAAACAAATGGTTTTCTCCAACACAGAAATAATTAGATATAGTTTATAAATATGTCTCAGAAAGAGCTATAGTCCAACAGATGGAACTTCTGTAAGTGTGGGCACACAGTCTCAACAGAGGAGAAAGGCTATGGAGTCAGATGTTTCCTTCACCCATTCCTGCAGCTAGATCCATCTTTGGAAGGGATGTGTGAGGACCAGTGACTCAGACTCAAAAGGCATGTTAGCTTTTCTAACACAGCATCACCTGTAGCTCAAAGGCTTAAGTAGGGTAGAAGAAGACCCAGAGGCTCAATTTGGCAATTTGATTCAGTCTAGACTCAGTGAGAGGAACTGAATTTGGAAGTGCCAAAACTCTCCACTGATTATTACAGGAGCATCTGTGAGTAACATGAACCCTAAGCTCAGGTCACACAGAATGGCAGGGGTCGGAAGGGACCTCGGGGGACCACCTAGACCAGGCCCCTGCCAAAGCAGGGTCACCCACAGCAGACTGCACAGGACTGCAGCCAGGTGGGTTTTGAATATCTCCAGAGAAAGAGACTCCACAGCCCCTCTGGGCAGCCTGGGCTCCGTCACCCTCAGAGGGACAAAGTTCTTCCTCATGCTCAGCTGGAACTTCCCGTGCTTCAGGTGGTGTCCATTGCCCCTTGTCCCGTTGCTGGGCACCACTGGAAAGAGTCTGGCCCTGTCCTCCTGACCCCCACACTTCAGATATTTGTAGGCATTTATAAGGTCCCCTCTCAGCCTTCTCTTCTCCAGGCTAAACATGGCCAGCTTCCTCAGCCTTTCCTCGTATGGTAAATGAGTCTAAGTTATTAATTCTTCCTGTAGCAGTGTAATGAGAGGAGCAAGCACAGCCTTGTGTACACACGAGATTTTAGCACCACCTTGAGCTAGGAGATAAATATAGCCAAGACTGACTTAGGGTGGGGCTAAGACATGGACATCTGCCTTCTAAATCTCTTCTGTGTAATCTCCTTTCAGACACCTCTGGCCTCTGAAAGATCTCACCCTGACAACCAACCAGGTAAGAAATAACCCTAAGAGTTAGCTTTGGTGTGTTGGTGAGATGGCATTGAGGCTACATGGTGGTGGTGGTGGCTCATGATGGAGCTTCACCTAAGTAACCACAGGGCAGACCGCACTCAGAAACCAGAGCTACATGACATGTGTTGATCAGTTACGATCTGTAGCTACTGCATATGAATTTCCATGGATGGGAATATGAGCTTTGCATAGGATTGCTTTGTAACGCTCTGCTCGGTGGTGTTTCAAAGAAAGACATTTGTATTCAGAATGGCACTGTAGACATCTAAGTGTGCTCAGAGTGGCAGTGTCTACAACAGCTTTAATTTTGCTTTCCTTTATGGGCAGCAAACATGCTTATTTTGGGTTCAGCGCTCAGGAGCCCTGTGGTGGCTCTCGGAGAGATTCTCATAACGGCACAACTCTTCTTCTCCCTTTCAGAGGCGGTCCCTTATCAAAGACAAATGTTTCCTGTCCGCCACAGAGTGTTTGCAGAAGCTAATGTAAGTCACCACCACTTCGACTGACAGCCAGAGCTGATGGGGATTTTCTGTATTCTGGGATATGCTGTAAATTTATATCTGTTTACAAAAGCCTATCTGGGTCAGCCTGCAAGATAATTTAAAGAGAAGTTGTTTGCAATATTGTTTCAGTTGAAAAGAAAAAGTAACCTCTATAGAATTATTTCTTTTTCCCCCCAAAATGACAAGACAATATCTAGTGTGTTTAAACACAACACTCCCCTGGCAAATAACTCCCCTTAATTTTGCAGAGAGATTCTTATATAAAATCTTTGATGAAATGGAGTTCACTCATGTCAGTGTGCATAGCAAATTTGGCCTGTCTGCGACTGCCTGGTCGCGATAGAGGCCATTGCTCTGTACACACAGAGCTACACGAGGGTTACCCATCCACTGTGGTGATCCAAGATGTTAATGCAGCAAAGACGAGTTCAATTTAAGAACCTCAGCTTGATTTATTGGCTTGAAGTCCAGCCTAGGGGATGGTGCTGCAGTAACGAGTGGGAAGGAAGATAGAGGGGAGCAGGAAGGTGTTGAGGGATCCATCAGCCAGGAGAGGGGAGCAGGGAGGTGTTGTGGGATCCATCAGCCGGGAGAGGGGAGCAGGGAGGTGTTGTGGGATCCATCAGCCAGGAGCTCTCAGGTCCCTAAGTACACTAGTCCTGGTGAGAGCCTCCCTGCGAAGGCCAGTGTGATGTCTGTTCTGGAGAAGGCAGCACAGGCTACGTGTACCTTGGCATGGCTTTACAGGCAGAAAAAAACAACCTTCACATATGTGACAACTGTATTCGTCCCTCACAAGACCAATATCTTGACAGAACTGCCCAAAGTGATCCATCTCATACTCTTTAGCTTTTAGGCACTGTGACTTGGGTTAGTCCTGTCTAAAATGAAAGACTGACACTAGGGTGAGCAGGTCATACTCAGGACTTGGGAAGATTCAAGGTCCACCTGCATGATGTTACACCCTGGTGATGTCTCCTGGCATAATCTTGTTGACCCCCTTTGATGCAGCCATTTGAGGTCATTGACAGATTTGTTTTTTATGGCATGATGGTCTGCTCTGAGCTTTTTTTAGTTTTGCTGCTTTATCTCTTTAGCTGTGTAGTGGAAGCATCTTTGACATGGCTGTTTTCACACTGGCAGCACCACGGTGGATCCCCGGGAAAAGCTGGTGATCCTCCAGAAGACATACGAGGAGATAGAAAGCACAGTGTCCCGGGTAGTGGGGAAGGACTACAAGCTTCCCATGGATGACCTGTTGCCCCTACTGATGTACGTTGTATCCCGAGCAAAGTAAGTGGAAGCTTTTCATTTCCCAGTCCTGTTGTTGTGCGATACCTCAATCCAAGAAAGTACAGTCATGTTTCCAGGAGAAATAGTTAAATGAAAAACTGGGGTTTGTGTTTTAACATGTTTTTTCCTGAGCTGTATTGGAGTTTCTGTGTGCTACTGTCTGCCAGCTATGGTGTGATGGTGTTGGCCATGATATCAAGTGGCTAGGGGCTTCCTGAGTGCCCATCTCTTATCCCAGAGGACAATTCAGTGTTGTGATGGGAAATGCAGTCTTATCTGCATGTCAGATTACCATAGAAAAATAGTAACGAGGCCTTTGAAGGCCAATTCTTGATGCCTTCAAGGCATCACCTATATATTCTACATCTTCTGTTTTCCATTCTCAGTGGGGGCACTGTGATTCAGTTTGGAGACTAGGAAGGTCTTGAACACTGACCATTCGGTAAATAGACTTCTCCTCTGTCGGGATGACCAGAAATGTAACACATTTCTGCCAAAGAGGCTCTGTCTGCGCTGCTTTCACTGCAACTGCAGGAACCTGCTTACATCCAGTAGAATGAAACTGTACTTTTTTTTTTTTTCCTGGCAAATTTGAGTCAAAATTCTTGACTGATTTATTGATATGCTTGGTCTCCAAAAAAGGGTGAAATGTTTAAACTTGGGGCCATGAAATCCAGCTGCTGCTTCCCCCCCGCCACACCGCAGTCACGTTGGATGATACAGGTTTGTTTGCTAGGCAGCTTTCTCGGTTGTAGATGAGAGGAGGGGAATAAGAGTGTGAAACATGGAGGAGTTGAAATTTTCTTTTGACTGAGCATCTTTGCTGAGATCTAGTCATGCTGGATACCTCAAGGACTCAGCCGCCAGAAGAACAAGGTGACACACAAGGAATCAGAAATGGACTTCCAGATCTGTGTCTCCTTCTCTCCATAATCTCATTTCAAACATCTGCCCACAAACACCAGTGCCCAGAGATTTGTTCTAGTTGTGACTATTTCCCCCCCTCCCCCCCTTTTTTTTTACAGCACCTGGGAGCTGAAATCCACCTGATCAGAGACTTGATGGACCCTGCCAATCAAGGAGGACTGTATGACTTTCTGTTAACAGCACTGGAGGTAAGAAAATGTTTTCAACAGTGGCAGTTGCAAGCTGTAGCAGCCTTTCTTGAATAGTAGAGATACCGATATGCTATAATTTCATTTAATTTTAGAGGGCTGTTTATCTGCCTAGCATGGGAGGTTATCTTCCTTCTAGTCTAGACAATATGCTTCTGGCAGGAGGGTTGGAATCAGATGATCTTTAAGGTCCCTTCCAACCCAAACCATTCTGATCCCATGATGTGCCAATTTAATCCTGCCTTTAGGAGGTAGTATAGTTTCAGTACATGTGCAAGGCCAACCCAAACCATTCTATGATTCCATAATATGCCAATTTAATCCTGCCTTTGGGACGTAGTATAGTTTCAGTACATGTGCAAGAGACCAGATTTTGGCCCAAAGCTCCAAAACTTCTCCTTAACGGGTTGTTCTGTTCCTTGCCCAGTCATGCTACGAACACATACAGAGGATGAGACTCCACCAAAGAGAGAACTGCCACGTAACTCACAGCCCCTGAGCCCGAGGACCCAGAGGGAGCCTCCTCCCCGCCGCACTTTCCTGACCGAACACTGTTGGATGAAGAGGCAATCATGTCACTGCTGTTCTGGCTGCCTTTAAAAAGGGAAGGACGGTTACTTTTCAGATGAGGGTTTCTTGCTGGATTTTCTCTTAGACTAGCTATGATGGTAAAGCACAGACATACGGATGCTGTGGGCGAAAAGGCTGAGATACACAACCTCAGCTTGTGTTTGGGAATCTCTTTGCCGAAAGCGGGCCAAGGTTTCTTTTGCCCTGTAGTTTTATTTCACTTTCCTGCAAACACCAGTCTGCCTGAAAACCTCATTTAACTGTTCTCTCAAATGCTGTGTTTGTTTTGCACTGCTGAACTGACATAAGGAAAGTTATTTTATAGAAAGTGGTTAAAGGAAACCACAAGAACTGTTTTGGTGGGACTACTTCTGGTTGGCAGGGATGTGGCGTGGTCAGGAGAGCCCGTCTCCATGCTCCTGAACAACCTGTTCCTGGGGTGAGGTGGCTTTTCCTGTATCCCTAAGAGGAAGGTTTGTCCGTTCCTTTTCCTACCTATGCCAAACTCAGTACCTCTCCATTGCATTGTAAAGCTGCTATTGACAAACTTTCTTGTATTATGATACTTGCAAGTGTATATTTATACTCTGCAGACTCCTATTAAACCTCAGGGATATCACACTTGCACCTTGAACATGCTAGTGCTGCTTTGTAATTCTGTAGGGGTTTGTGTGTGCCTAATAGGCAGGACATGCGTTGTCCTGGGGGGTGAGAAATGTCAAATCCTCGTGAGACAAAACATAAAACCACCTGGCTTTTCTGCATTGACAGAGCTCCGAAAACACTGGTTTTCCTAGGTGCACAGCTTCATGCTGACAGAACACCCACTGATGCCAGTGGGGTACAAATCAGATTAGAATTGGGCTGGGTTTTATGTTGCCTTTACAAGAGGCAAATGGATATTTGGTATCCTGTTCCTATCAGACAAAAAGAGCAATGTCTGAGTTGCATATCTAGAGCAGAAGCTCTTCTGAACTAGATTTTAACCTGCTATTTTTTTACAGTTTGATTTTAAGTTGTCCAAGTCTGTGACTTCAGGAAAACAAAACAAAATTCTGCAGGCTCTTTCCTCCTGTTTATCACAAGTATTATTCTTTAATAAATAGTACACTGATTACAATAGTTAATATATTGGTATGAGAGTATCCTAATGTATGTTTTACAGTAACTTTGTATTTAAATAAATGTTTTAATTTTTAAGAGATTCCAGGCTTGCATACTTCTTATTCCAAACTTGTTGCTGTCTTTAGGCATTTTAGAATTTGCCACCTTCTCTTTAACTTCAGAAAATATGTGGCTCCCTTACCGCCTTGATCGTTCACAGGAACAGAGAATTCGAACTACAAATTAGTTTCCTAATGTAATTGTAAGAGAGACTGAATCAATAACTCCATTTTTTGTGCTTCTGTTCCCTGCTAAATCAATAAGGAGAACACAGCTTAAACTTAAAGATCATTTCCTGCAATTAAACTACTATTTTTTACCCCACTGTCTCACACTGATCACACTAAGCCTTAGGCGGCCTTATGAAGGAGTGCTGTTCCACATCTTCAGAGCTGAACATGCTGTGGTGCAGACAGCTCAGGTGAAGAGAAAGTGACAGTGAGTAGCTGAAACTCATCTTGCTTTACTTGAACATCTCTTTAGCTACTCTATCGTGCCGGCCTGTCTTCCTCCTTTCTTAACTATATTCCCCAGAGAAGAACTGCAGAAATAATGCCTCTTCCCTGAGAACTGCTGCCTGGATTTTTGCATCACAGCAAACTCATGTCATCCATCCAGATGAGGATGTAGTCTGCTGGACACTACAGCGTCTAAACTGGTCCTGGGTATGTCGAGATACTGGGTTCTTGGACTTGTATTTTTGCTGTTTTCACACAGCAAAGCCAAAGCAGTCCCAGCTTCATGGAACGTGAAATGAAAAGTACTGTTCATCTAAGCAAACCCTTTATAAAATTGCAGTGCTTAAGGTGTTTGGTGCCAATACTAGTTGCACAGCATGCAGTGAGACTGGGAAATACAAGACCAAAAACACGCTCTCCTACCAATACACCAATTGTCAGCTTGAAACAATCGTTCCTCACCTCTGTGAAATCTCACCTTATTGTTAAAAGGAAGAAAGCTCCAGCAGCCTGTCTTTGCGAATATAAACAGCCATAAGTAACAGCTGTGAACTTCTAATTTCAGAGCTGCTTAAAACTGGCTGTGTTGCAGTCTAAAGAAACACCCTGCCAGAAGGCTGAATCACTGAGATGTAGTCACAGCTGTGTGAAAAAAGAAAAACAACCCTCTGTTTTCTCCCTACTGCATTCTTCCATGCTCTGGGTATTGATTTTAATTTCAGGTACCACTTCCTATTCAAAGTGCAGAACTTCTACTAGAAAATAGGACATGCAAAATGCATGCATGTACAAACTCCACAGGATTATCTAGAAAACAATGTCATTTTTCAGCCTACTGAAGATTTCTACTATTGCACTTTCTAAATATATAGTTATTAGTTGCTCTTGGTCATCTGGTTGAAAACTGATGACGTTCTTGAGCAGTAATTCAAGTGAGCCCTAAAGGGGCAGCTAAGGTAACAGTGTGCAGCCATTTGTGCTTCTAGGCTTTCTCAGCAACCAGTAAAAGCAAGAGGGCTACTTCAATGGAAACACTCTTCTAGCCCAAGGGTAGCATTCGGATTGCAAATTGTGCTATGTAACCATGCAGTAGTGCTATTTGGTGTGTTAACAGCATGGCTGTTTTAGGAGATAATACGAGGCTACTCACTAGCTTCCCTGATTAATCAAATTTTTGCTTGATAAAGTACTGTGCCTTGACATAGTGTGTAGAAATGTGAGAGTACATCCAAGTTCCTCCTTTTGATCGTGGGTGAATCACATGCTTAAATTGTTAGTGGCAGATTTGCTATCTATCTATCTGCACTAATTTGCAATCAGGACTCCAGCCTCCTGATTATTACGCTAAATTTTATCCTGCAGGCCCTAGAGCAGCAGGAAGGTTGACCCTATCTGCGACTGTCAGCTTTAGAGAGATACCACTGTACAGGACACCAGGGCATTCAGCTCCTTCGCATCCAGGCTACAGCTGTCAAGCCAGCTCAGGCCTCAACGGAAGGGTTACTAACTAGGGTCCCCTAAAAAAAAAAGAAAAAAAAACAAAAGCAAAGCTGAGCGTGCCTGGAAGCAGGGCAGGTCTTAAAGTAATTTAGCTGTGACCAGACAAAGCAGAGCTTAACTGCTTGAGTGTGTGGTGCAGGTTTGCTGTCTGCATACAGTGCTCTCGGAAACAGAGGAGCATGGTGCAGACCACTGCAATCTTAGTGTTTAGCTCTGACAGACCTAAGCTTCATCCACAGAGAATTTCTGTTCCCCTTCCCTGAAGGCATATTCATTGGCACGGCTCGTAACATAATACTAACAGGATTTGGGTTTTTCCTTTGTCTAAGAATTTTTTTTCCTGTCCAATTACTCTAGATATTCA